ATTTTTTTTCCTCTGATGGATCCTGCTGTCCCCTTAGCATCGGTATGAGCATCGAGAGGATGGTATGAGCATCGAGTCGACGCTCTAATAAAAGGGGGAATAATGCCACCTAGAGTTGTGAGCCGGCAAGCCCTAGCGAGCCGAAAAGGGCAAAGAGAACGAATAAGTGTGTGTTAGCGCTTCGTTTGAAGATACACGCTCGTGTCTTTCTGCCCCGCTGTTCCGGTCTTGTCTTTACGGCTAGTGGTGCGTGACAAAATCATGTCAGATAATCTTTAGATATCTTGTATTTCCATCGTGATATGTCTCGCATGACAAGTGCGTGCATCTGCATTCCCAATACATTCAATAAAGTAATCCGTATCTTCAGATACAAGATACCGCTATCGGAAGCTTACCATGCGGAACAATAATCTCTGACTGAACTATACTTCTCAAGATGGTACGGGTATCTCTAATCTATCCTATAAAAACTCAGTGCCGTGGGATAATTTAATTTTTCCCCGAGGGCCCACCAGTGACGGCAGAGTCGAAGGTCTTCGCGTCTCGTTTAGCGTAGCAAAGCCAAATGACAGCACTCGCGCAGCCTAATAAAATCACTCCTTCTCCACGGAGTGAATGATGATGAGTGGTGTGAAGTGTCCGTACGTCCATACGTGCTTCTGTCCGTACGTCCATTCGTCCGTCCATGCATCCATCCGTCAGTCTGTCTTTTGTTTGTCTGGGAGGCCTATACTAGACAGCGCCGTGTAGTATAGGCCTCGCAGCCTGGCCAGGGGGTGCTGCGCCACGTGCGTTTCGCCACATTTTTTAGCAATAACCGGTCGCTCGTCAATCTAAGCCAGCCTTTTGCCTGCGCTCCTCTCTCAGCACGTTCACGCACTCTGCGCGCACTGTTGTCTGGTCACCCCGCACGTGCAGCGTCACCTGTGAGTTGCTCCGAATGCATAAAAAGGTTTTAAATGCATTTTCACAGTGTGAATATCGCCAGCAATGAGAGCGATTTATCGACAACCTTAAGCGACCAAGTTTGAACATCAAACACAATGTCAATGAGCGAGTGCTATATGCGTGGCGATGGTGAACAGGCACACTTATACGACAATAAAAGTGAGGTGATTGTGTGAACTACGTCGTCTCAGAGGCCCTCAACTGTTTTGGGAAGGTTGTCACCTCGATTTAATTGTCAAATTAGCTGGATATCTGCCCAGCAAACTGCTTCTCTGTCTCGCCATCCTGTGGTTGCGAGACAGGTTGGCATGGATCATTTTATCCCTGGGCTCTACATCTGAACCTTTGCAGTAGTGCCTTGTCATATTCGAGGGAGTCAGCTGCGGTCATACACGCAATACAGTCAGTGCCTCCCCATTCAAGCACATGCTTATGGCGATTGCCCATTTATCTCGAGGCCAGTCCTGTATCGTGTGTACGCGGTCGAACCTCTGCAGGTACGCTTAGAGATCGTTGCGTCTCTTATCAAATAGTGGCAGTAGCTTCTGTGCACGGGTTTAGGCCTACAGGAGATGCTGGCGGGGCGAGTGCTGCCGCCGCAGATGGCTCACGTGGAACATCCTACTGAAGCTTGAGCTTAAGCTTCCGGATCTCGAGGTGCCTTTGGTTCACTAACCGCTACCTCACTGCTGCTTTTTTGGCTGTATCTCGCTCTGCCACGCGTTCGTCTCTCTGTCTAACCTGCTATCTTTCGGCCCGCTCACGAAGCTCCATGCTATATAGGCAGTCCTAACTGTGTAGCAATGACCGCTAACTTATCGAGATACATGTCGGTCGTCTAGTGTTGCATGAATACTTCTGAATCTTGTCTGCGCTTTAAGGGTTTTACTGGCGCATCCTGGCAGGCTCGCCAGTTTTTGATGGAAGCACGAATAAGTGTGGGCCCAGCATCCGTTCATTGGAATGACTCGGTGATCAGAGCATTATAAAATAAAACACAGAAGGTTTTATGGACAACACTAGAAACCACACAAAATATTTACAGTCTCACTACTGTTCAGCAATAAACCGTCCGTTTACTCTCGTGACGTGCCGTGCACTCCTACACTCACCTCCTCACGCTGTCATCGTGGTCACCCTGGTGGTCGTCGTCATGGTGTTGTCGCTGCGTGGCGCGATTAAGGTCACGATGGCTCGTCACCTAGTGCGCCCCGGTTGTGACAGGTCAGCAGGGAGTCGCAACGGCCGGTTGGCCCGAGGTTGTTACCATGCCTGGATGATGGTTAGCCAGCCGCTTCCAGCTGCATAATCGCCTCTGGTCGCTCCACGACACCCGCACCTACCAGGCCGCTGGCGCCCTAAGAATCCAAGGACGGGATCTCAGCGCCATTCGACAGTTACTCCAGGCCGCTCAAACTGCAGGCCGCTGGTGCACTCAGGAACCAAGCACGACATCTCGGTGCTGTCGCAACAGTCACACCAGGTCACTCGAACAGCAGGCCGCTGGTGTACCGAGAAACACTACGAACTGCCGTCGCCGATGTCCACCCGCTTTTCTGGTGCTCTTCTTTCGCCCCAGTTCGTTTTTTCTCTACCACAATTACCATCACCTGCTCTTCGCTTTTCGCCACAGGGGAATTATCGTCACCAGCTGCCTCCTCGTACTGTCACGGCCACGCACCACTATTCACGTCACCACAGGCAGGTTCTATCAAACCCAATGGAAACATGAATATGAAAAAAATGCACGCGCATGCTTTTCGCATCGTTGAAGTTGCGAAAGTTTGTTGCAGAAGGAGGAGGAATAAATGAGGAAGGACAGGGAGGTTAGCCAGTTTGTTGCAGAAGAATGCTGTTTAGAAGGTACAGGTGAAGTTAGGTGAGAGGTGTGGATTTTGTCCAGGATGGCACGTTTCATAGCTCGAAGCAATTCCCTTCACTGGCTGAGCTCGAGCATGTTGGCGGCATGTGGTTCTAATATGCACATTATAAGCCACAATAATTGCGCTACATGCAGTGCACAAGCAACTCTATGCTTCTATTTTGATATCACTCAAGTATAATGTAAATTAGTTACAATTATGTGACTTCGGGGTGGGAAATACTTCAACACACAAGGGGACGTGAAGTGCAACTCGCTCCTGGTGAGTTAGCAGCTTATCCTTTATTGTCCCTGTCACTCTGGTTGCTTTCACAGCCTTTTACGTCCAGTGAAAAATTCCAGTCATCAAGATTGTTTCTTTCAGAATACCTGGTAAAAGCAACCTGAATAATTTCCTCCAACAAATGATTTCGACGACTCCGTGTCATCATTTTAACGTGTTAAAACGGCGAACACTTTGCGTTCATACCACTCTACAAGCGTCTCGCTTGCCACTTACCCGCAGGTCACCGGATCAAACTCCGGCTGCGGTGGCTGCATTTGCGATGAAGGCGGAAACGGCCATGAAAGTGGCCTCCACTACGGCCACTTTCATGACCATATGATGGTTTTAAGACGTTCAACACCACTTATCAATGAATCAATCGCTGGCACCTTATGAACAAGCGTAAAAGACAGGAGCGATGAAAGAAACATTGGCGAAGGACGGCATTCAGAGCAATCGCTCTAAGACTATAGCGGAGCAACTGAATCTTCGAATGATTGAAGCGTCTCTTGTAGCATCGTTTTTTGTTACAGGACCAACCTAACTATTTTATTGTATTTCCAGTCTGAGATTGCCCTGTTACGAGTGCGCGTTACTTCCCGCGTAGAAGTTTTTTCAGATTCATGCACTACAAAAAAACTGGCGAGTGGTGTGTGCAGATAAAACAGAACCAGTTGGATTTGCAGACGTTAGACTATAACATATTACTAACCAACGTTGGTACAGAAAACCTCGTAGAGCTGATATCTGTACGCCACCGGCTCATACTAAAAGCGTTAGTTGACTCGTATTTTCCCTAAAATTTGAGTCTCGTGAAACGACTCAGGTTTGTTGTGTCGTAAAGGACTGAGTTTGTACAGTGATCTAAGAAAGACGCAAATTTGTAGTGTTCTCTCATTGCTAACACTTTAACACAAGGCTGGCATGACCGAACAAGGAAGCGACGGTGCAATGCTGCAGTTGGGCCGTCTACTGACATTCCTCGAGAAAATGCTCCTTTATTCCACTTGGCGGCACGACAGTATACGGGCACTGCGAATAGCTTTAGTTCTTTTGGCTAGATATGCCTGGCAGGCGCGTATTCTCGTTAAAAAAAAGAGAACATGCGAACATGGACACGAAGAGAGATGTCAAAACAATACTTTTGTTTATTTGACTTCAGCTATGTCTTTGTGGCCGTGTTTGCGCGCTCTGTCTTCGAACACTAATAGAAGTCCACCAGCCGAGCTTCTTGGTATTTTAAGGGCGCGTCAGTAAGCAAAGAGATGACTAGTGCACAGAGACAAGCTAAACATACAATGTTTGTGGTGAACCCATTCGTCGTTTAATACCAAATTTGTAGCTGGATATCAGCTATGGTATCCACAAATAGCCAGAAATAACTAAGACTCACCAGCATTCGGACAACAGTTGTCATCACTAGTCATAATATAAGAACACCAGGCTAAGTCTGTCGATGCTCGTCCAGCAGCTACCAACACAAGCAATAGTTAACTCACCTGTAGCCAGAGTTGGTCAACTGCATACTTAGCACTGCTTAAAACTGGCCGGGATTCAGTCCTAATTTTTCGCGCTAATCAGTGCATGAAGTACGCGAATAAACGTGGTAGAGAAACTTGGCCAGAGATTTTCGTCGCAATGAACAAATCAATCTTCAACGTACTTCGTGAAGAGGTCCCGGAAGACATTTCATTTGGTAGCCAGTCAGCATGAAAGGAACCTGAGCGGTAGTCTATATTACCGATTTTGGAAAACAGTACCAGTGTTGCTGCTTCCTTCCACATTATCTCTAAGCGTTCTGTTCTGATAATCATTTCGTGAGCTTCTCGCCGAAAGCAGGCGAGTGTAAAAAAGAGGCTTGAGCATTTGTTACAAAGGTTCACTTCTTTGAAATTGACGCAGCGGCTAAGGACGCCGGTACATTGATGATCCTGAGCAGCTTAAGCACCTTCTCACTCGAAGATGTCAGGGCGGCGGCGCCCGGCTGTCTTCTGTGGCAGCAAACGTACATCTTCCGTGACCGTACTATCACCAAGTCCCTGGTAGAGAGGGCAGCTTCCATGGGGTTTTCGGCCATCGTGGTCACCGCGGACTCTCCCGTGTTGGGAGACACTGTGCGTCGCCATGCGTATCGAACCATCTTGCCACGTGGTCTCAGGTAATCTTAAATTTTGGAGTCCTCAATTGCAGCTTAGTTGGTATATTCTAAAGTTTAACCTGAGAATTTCCCAACTCAACCAAAATACCTTTGGTGAGATCCTCGCAATCGGGGTACGCAGTATCTACTGCGCCACCGTAATGCTAAAAATGCATTCCGAGTTTTCTTGAAAAAAAAGTTTAATTGCAGCTCATGTAACAGTTAAGTTAATGAACTAACTGATGCACAAGCTTTTTCGTTTTTGGTGGCAAGTAGTTACCTAGCCCGCATAAGTGTTTGCTTAATGGAAAAGACCACCACTTTCGAATGCTAAGGATTTCTTTGCGTACTGCAAGCACTTTTGGCATCTATCTATCTATCTATCTATCTATCTATCTATCTATCTATCTATCTATCTATCTATCTATCTATCTATCTATCTATCTATCTATCTATCTATCTATCTATCTATCTATCTATCTATCTATCTATCTATCTATCTATCTATCTATCTATCTATCTATCTATCTATCTATCTATCTATCTATCTATCTATCTATCTATCTATCTATCTATCTATCTATGTATGTATGGGTGCTCTCAAGATCACCCCCTTAACTTGGGGTACACTAAAATTGGTACGGGAGGGTAAGATGACTTGACGAATATGACGAGTTGGTAATGACATGAATAATGTAACAATGTGGTCGTGCACTTTAGTCAAACACTTTCTAAAGAAAAAGAAACGGTGGCACGCACACAGGGGCGTGTATATGCCACTGGTATGCGGGTATGTGCCCCAGGCGATAGACATTTTATATCTACCCAGGATCGGCGACCACAAACATTAGTAATTTTAACGCTTGAATGTTAGACAAAAGCTGATATTGGAAGCGTTGACCAGATGAACGCAAAGAATAAACGTCAGTGTCCCAGCAGAAATTTATTCCTAGAATTCTGCATGGCAGTAAAATACTCTACAGCAGAGCCACACCAGGTCTCAGAGATACTTTCCAAATTTGAATTGAATGGAATTTAAACTTTATTCAGACACCCATTGTATAGGTTGAAGGGTTAAAGGCAGATACGGCTGCCCGAGAAAGGCCCCCTACTCGTACTTCGCTCAGGGGTGGGAAACTGCGGAGCGTGGGCAAATACAGGGAACAATATATGGCCAAAATGCCGCATGCAGCCTATACAAGCAATCAAAACACAATAAGAAAAACAGCTACATTCATAACACCACAATAATAACACGTGTATGTAAATGTTTATACAAGCCAAAATGATCAATGGTACAGAACAGTACTAAAAGAAATAGGAGAAAGAAAAGAACAGGCGGAAACAGCACAACATAAACGAAGCACCAGGAGCTTATCGAATGGTAATCTTTAACTCTTTTTCGAAGCGGTACGTTGAATAGTTGCCCTGAATAATATCGGCAACAACTCGATTGTTATTTAGGAAATGTGGCATTACGTAGGCAATAGGCTCAGTACCATATTTAGTTCGACACATAAGCGTTCCGAGTCGGTTGTGCGTGGGTTAATATTGAGAATGGACAGATGACGATGACTACGGGCAGTCCAGAAGGTCCACGATGACGCCACAAGGCTCGTCCTGACGGTACCAACATAGACGCCGTCCGCTTCGGTCTGAAGAGACCGGGATTCAGGACACAAATAAAGTTTTGTGAATGAATGAGTGAAAGAATTAATGATGAAGGCAGGATTTGGCGGTCATGAACATTTTCTCTATGTGTATGTATAGCGAGTTTTAGTTTGAATACGCGATCTATATTTAGTATATGAAGCTTGGAAAAGGATAGCCCTGCGTGGCCCCTTCGCTTAAGGCTTTCGATACAATCAACAACTGTATTTTTAAAATTGTTAATCTATTAAATTTTTTTAATAGTGGTACCCCTGATTAGGAGACGGTATTGCAGATGAGAGTGATCAAGGGCATATTAAAACTGCAGTTTCAACCATTTAGGTACCAAGGAGGTAAAATTATATTTTGAGATTGGACTACACATAGTTATTAGTGAGATTGACCAGCCATAGGCCCTAACGTTCGTAAACGTAAATTCTGGTTGCAGTAAACGCTATCAAATTTTTTAAACATTGCATATTCACTTTTAAAATACAATCACCACGTCTGGTTAATTTCAATTGTAGTGAGATGTCATCAACTGAAGTTGACTTGTGTAACAGTGTTTAGGATTACTATACTCGTGAGCCCCAGCGCAAATAAAAGCACTTCGTATCAGCTTATCGCTTCTGTTTTTACTAATATTCAAGTTGCTGTGGGCATTGTTACACAACTGCAAAAACATGCTAATACAAAAAATGCAGCTGTTTGACGTATGTTTTTGCACGGATTTGTGCATATATTGAGAACTACTTAAAAAAGTCTCGCTCAACAAAAAAATTAAAACACTGTCACCTGGCATCCACACGCTTCGCATAACATCAATATCCAAGGTGTGTGAGATCTGCCAATTTTTAAGGTACATTTTTTCTTTCAATGTAATGGTGCTTTTGTGGTCAAAGTGCCCTAATCAAGAACGAAAATAATGTACTTTTTTAGTTTTTTCGTTTGAAGCCCCCAAAAGTTGTACAAGCTAGACATTCGGCTAGGTAGCCTGATATTTATTATAGGTGGCTAACAAATGAGGCTCTATCTAGTAGAAAAGGGCGTTGTGTTCATTAAGCCAATGTGGCTTAAAAAAACACCATGGCAGTACCGAGTGGTGATACTGAGCGGATGCGTTTGGTTGTTTTCTCGTCGCTACCAATATCTTCTCTGTTCTTCAAGTTCATTACAAACATGTTATTTGACCCCTATGTTAGAAAAGATTGTAATCGCAGAGCCGAATCACGAGACTGATGTTACTTGAATATAAGCATGTGGCAGGGCACACTCAGAGCATTCACAACTTATGAATAATAGTTTAACAGAAAACCTTCATGGCAACGTATATAACAGATGCATCTTACCGTTACTCACAACTAAAACAGAAACCTGAAAGCTTACGATAGCTTAACCTAGATTTACGACGATACAGCGGATAACAGAAATGAAAACTACAGGTGTAACCTTAGGAGATGATGAGAGAACAATGTGGGCGAGAGAACGAATGGGTGTGAAAGACTTGATAGTTCGAATCAAGAAGAAAAAGACGTAGGCTGGAGACGTGGTGCGTTGGCAGGGTAATCACTGGTCAATATGGGTCATTGATTGTATTCCAAGAGAAGAAAAAATTTGCAGATCCCTCGTATAGTGCGAATCGATATGTCAAGCACGAATGAGGAAATTTGATATGCCAATTTAAAATTAGCTCAACAGGTAGACATAAATTATGCCGTACATGACTTCCATCTATTCATTATCGTGTTTGGACGTGTCATTTACTTTCGTTGCCTATTCACATTACGTGATACTAAATTTAGTATTTGTGGAGCTAGCGAAACAGTCGTGAGCACGCTACGAGCGTAGCATGTAGTCATGTATTACATCACACAGATGTTATGATTATCATGTTTGGACGTGTCAATTACCTTCGTCGTCCAGTCATGTCGCGTGATACCAAATTTGGTAAGTTTGGAGCTTGCGAAACGTCCGCGAGCGCCTTGAGCGTAGCACTTAGTCATGATTTACATGACACGCATGTCATGATTATTAAGTTTAGCCGTCGTTCATTCACATCACGTAACACAGAATTTGTTGTATGTGAAGCTAGTGAAACGACCATGAGCGCATCATGAGCGTGGTATGTTTTTACATTACACGCATGTCATGGTTATCATGTTTGCACCAGTCATGTATTTTCGCTATCAATCGGCGTCGCATATCACCAAATTTGTAATATGTGAATCCAGCGAAACGACCGCGGGCGCACTACCATCGTAGCATGAAGTCATGTTTTACATAATACGCATGTTATGATTATCGTGTTCGGACGTGTTATATACATCAGTCGTCCGTTCGCGTCACGTAATACTAAATTTGGTGTATAAAAGCTAGCGGAATGGCCGCGAATGCACCATGAGCGTGGCTTGTAGTCGTGTTATTACATGACACGCATTTCGTGATTATCAAGTTTGCACCAGTTATATTCCTTCGTCATGCAGTCTTGTCCCGTAATACTAATATTGGTATATGTGAAGCTAGTGAAACGACGACGAGCGCATTATGAGCGTGGCGTGTGGTCATGACTTACGTGGCATGCATGTCATGATTTTCACGTTAGGGCCTGTCACCTATGTTCGCCATGCAGTCATGTCATACCATACCAGTTTGGCAATATGCCATGTGAACGAAACCACCACTAGAGCAGCAAGACCATGAAATGTAAATCATGACATTCATGACATACATGTTATGATTTTCATGTCATGAGTAGTCACTTATGCTCGTCATATTGTCGTGTTATTCCGTACCAATTTCTGTAATGATGTGATTATCGAAATGGCCACGAGAGCTAAAAGTTATAGGCGGCGAGATAGTTATGCTCAATGTCGGCGAGGATCGCTAACAAATGCTTCAAATAAAAAAAAAACATGCGCCAGAGGGAGAGATAAAGTTATGTGTTTCAATAAGATTAGAAAGCTGGCGGATTGAGCGAGGTGGCCGCAACCACCATATGAGGTTGATTGGTGGAACATGGCTGGGACTTTATTCCCTGGAGTGGGCATAGTCACGCTCGTTAGGAAGTTACTTCAGACAGTGTGCGATGATTGTACACGCTCTCTTTTATGTATAGCGCTAAGTAAGTCACCGTTGGGTAAGTGAGAATTTCCACCGTCTTGGCGCCAGACATAATTACTCGTCGGGAAATTTGTTTATTATAGGCAGACAGGTTCTTCTGTTAGCACTCTACCTACGCTTACATCCTCTCTTACAGGTCGTAGTGTTACCATGAGCAAGCTCTCAATTTCGCAGAGTCCGTTCACTTCTCCGTTATTCCGTAAAAACTTAAATTCTAAGAGAACCAATAACAAATGAAAACATGCTCTCAGAGAACTTGATGTAAATAGAAACATTAGTAAAATACACTTGAATAAACAAAGAAAACATAGCCAACGCCAGCTTTGTGAGGCAAAAGGAATATTTGTTTCTTTTGAGTTTTTAAAAGTTTGCAGAACCCACCTAACTGAACATGGCTAGGATAAAAATATGAGGGCGTTCTTCCTTTTGAAGAATGAGAAATTGCAAGTGAATGTTTTCAATATTCGACCGCCTCTTTGGAAGAATGGTTACGCTGCTGGGCTGCTCACCCGAAAGTTGTTGGTCCAGTTGTGTCGGTGGTGGTTGCATGCTTATAGAGGCAAAACGCTAGATGCCCGTGTTCTGTACTTCATTAGTGCACGTTGAAGAGCAACAGTTGATCAAAATTTCCGAAGCCCCCTCCACATCTGCGTGGCTCATAGTCGTACTTTTGGCCCGCAAAACTCGAAGGTATTATTGCTATTACAATTACCAGATGAAGTGCTTTGTGACACCCACTTTATTGCATTCGGTGCAGAATGACGTAGCTGAACTGCTGATGTTACACGTGCTTATGTTGTCTCAGTTTCGCCAATACTGAAGGTGCATGTTCGAAAGGATTCGATGGATGCGAGCCAAAGAGCAAATATTCGAGTGACATGGAGTCTCGACCATCTGCCACTTGGGAAGACATCGAATGGCTACGCCGTCTCTCGGGGTTGCCTGTAGTCGTAAAGGGCGTCCTCACGGGTAAGTTCTATCGTATATCGGTGACCTCGTCGTGTGCACGTTATGCGGGCAGCAGAAAAGTAGTAAACGCATACTTGCTTTATCATGCAGCCGCCGCTTCGAACAGCCACATAAAGCGCGTAATTTAAGCTTGTTTGTGCTCTACCTTATTCAATGTGAGGCATCTATTCTTGTACTGAGCACGCCATGAACGTTTTTATCTATCTATCTATCTATCTATCTATCTATCTATCTATCTATCTATCTATCTATCTATCTATCTATCTATCTATCTATCTATCTATCTATCTATCTATCTATCTATCTATCTATCTATCTATCTATCTATCTATCTATCTATCTATCTATCTATCTATCTATCTATCTATCTATCTATCTATCTATCTATCTATCTATCTATCTATCTATCTATCCGCCTACGTCAGGGTGTCCTTTTGATCATCTCCTCACCTTGGGGTATAGACCAAAATGAGTATGGGTGAATAAGAGGGTTTCAAAAATATGACTATCTGACCATGACATGAATAATTTGAAAATTTCACCACGTACGACGTCAAACTCTTTTCTCCAGACGCGTGTTGCACATGCCTATATATCACGGGTTCGTATTGTGTGGTTATGCGCCCCAGGTGGTCAGCAGTTTACGTCTACTAAGGATTGGTGAGAACTAACAATGGGGATTTATATGCGTACGTGGTATAAAAATCGACATCGGCCGCGTCCACCCGATGAATGCAAAGATGATATGCTATGGTCCCAGCAGCAATCGAACCCAAGCATTCTATGTGGAAACGAGTATTCTACCACAGAGCGACGCCAGGTTTCAGAACTTTTTTTTAAAAAAAGACCGTATGCAGTCGCGATGCTGGTGAAACGTCCATTTTAGTTCCAGTGCTGGCCGTTTCAATTTATAAACATTACATATGCACTTCAATGATAGAGGCATCGCGTTGGGTTAGCTCCAACTATGCGCAAATGCCATCCACTGAAGTTTGCTTACGTAGCTCCATCAAGGGCGACCATCTTCGCAATCACAAGCGCTGCAATTCAGCTTGGCGCTTCTAGTGTTGGTAACACCCGTGTTGCTCTTGCCATCATTACGCAACTGTACACAACTGGTTGTATATAATATTGGTGACTGTTCGACATACATGTATTTGCGTATGACACTTGCACATATGTTCAGCGTCAGTTAGTAATGTAGCGCTCAACAAATTGTTATGGCACGTTCATCCTTTCTTATATGAAGGTACATTTCTCACTTTTCTCAATTTCGTAATTCCATAGGCCAACCAAAGTCACATTCCGATTTCAGCAGTGTAAATTGAACTCTTATGCTATAAGTCTAACGTATGCTTGTCTGTAATTTTTGATACCTTTGTCTTTCTGTCGGCGATGCTTTTTGTGTTAGCCCTTTATTGTCGTTAACGTGTTATGAGAATATCATCATCATCATCATCATCATCATCTTCATCATCATCATCAGTCTGACTACGTCCACTGCAGGACAAAGGCCTCTCCCATGTTCCGCCAGTTAACCCGGTCCTGTGCTTGCTGCTGCCAATTCATACCCGCAAACTTCTTAATCTCATCTGCCCACCTAACCTTCTGTCTCCCCCTAACCCACTTGCCTTCTCTGGGAATCCAGTTAGTTACCCTTAACGGCCAGCGGTTATCCTGTCTACGCGCTACATGCCCAGCCCATGTCCATTTCTTCTTCTTGATTTCAGCTATGATATCCTTAACCCCCGTTTGTTCCCTAATCCACTCTGCTCTCTTCTTGTCTCTTAAGTTTACACCTACCATTTTTTTCCATTGCTCGCTGCGTCGTCCTCAATTTAAGCTGAACCCTCTTTGTAAGTCTCCACGTTTCTGCTCCGTAGCTAAGTACCGGCAAGATACAGCTGTCTTATACCTTTCTCTTGAGGAATAGTGGCATATTACCTGTCATAATTTGAGAGTGCTTGCCAAATGTGCTCCACCCCAATCTTATTCTTGTAGCTACTTCAATCTCGTGGTTCGGCTCCGCGGTTACGACCTGCCCTAAGTAGACATAGTCTTTTACAACTTGAAGTGCACTATTACCTATCTCGAAGCGCTGCTCTTTTCCGAGCTTGTTGTACATTACTTTCGTTTTCTGCAGATTCATTTTAAGACCCACCTTTCTGCTCTCCTTGTCTAACTCCGTAATCATGAGTTGCAATTCGTCCCCTGAGTTGCTCAGCAATGCAATGTCATCGGCGAAGCACAGGTTACTAAGGTACTCTCGATTAACTCTTATCCCTAGCTGTTCCCATCCTAGGCTTCTGAAAACCTCCTGTAAGCACGCGGTAAATAGCATTGGGGAGATTGTGTCCCCCTGCCTTACACCTTCTTGATTGGTATTCTGTTGATTTCTTTAAGAAGCACTATGGTAGCAGTTGATCCCCTGTAGATTTCTTCCAGGATGTTTATATATACTTCATCTACGCCCCGATTCCGCAGTGTTTGTAATACGGCTGATATTTCTACTGAATCAAACGCCTTCTCGTAATCTATGAAGGCTATGTATAGTGGTTGGTTATATTCTCAGCATTTCTCTATTACCTGATTGATAGTATGAATGTGGTCGATTGTTGAGTAGCCTGTTCGAAATCCTGCTTGTTCCTTTGGTTGATTGAATTCCAATGTTTTCTTTACTCTGTTAGCAATTACCTTTGTAAATAGCTTGTATACTACAAAGAGCAAGCTAATCGGTCTGTAATTCTTCAAGTCCTTGTCATCTCCTTTGTTATGTATTAAGGTGATGTTGACGTTATTCCAGGACTCTTCCCGTCAGGAGACACATCGTAAACAGGGTGGCTAGTTTTTCTAACACAATCTGTCCTCCATCTTTCAGCAGATCTGATGTTACCTGATCCTCACCAGCAGCTTTGTATCTTCGCATACTCTCCAAAGCTTTTCTGACTTCTTCTATCATTACTGGTGGGGTGTCATCTGGGTTACTGCTAGTTCTTATAGTAATAAAATCGTGGTTGTCCCTGCTACTGTACAGATCTCTGTAAAACTCCTCCTCTATTTCAGCTATCTTATCCATATTGGTAGTTATTTTGCCCTCTTTGTCCCTTAGTGCATACATCCGATTTTTGCCTATCCCAAGTTTCCTCTTCACTGCTTTGACGCTTCCTCCGTTTTTCAGAGCGTGTTCAATTCTCTCCATGTTATACCTTCTTACATCGGATACCTTACGCCTATTAATCAACTTTGAAAGCTCTGCCAGTTCTATTTTGTCTGTTGTACTTGAGACTTTCATGATTTGGCGCTTCTTAATGAGATTCTTCGTTTCCTGGGAAAGCTTGCAAGTGTCCTGTCTAACTAGCCTGCCTCCAACTTTCACTGCACACTCCGTAATGATACTCGTCAGACTATTATTCATTGTATCTATGCTAAGGTTGGTTTCCTCACTAAGAGCCGAGTACCTGTTCTGAAGCGAGACTCTGAATTTCTGTACTTTCCCTCTCAGTGCTAGCTCATTGATTGGCTTCTTGCGTATTAGTTTCTGTCGTTCCTTTCTCAAGTCTAGGCGAATTCGAGACCGTACCATTCTATGGTCACTGCATCGTACCTTGCCAACCACTTCCACATCCTGCACGATGCCTGGGTGTGCACTCATTATAAAGTCTATTTCGTTCTTATTTTTGCCATTAGGGCTCCTCCATGTCCACTTGCGGTTTCCTCGTTTTCGGTAGAAGGTATTTAAAATCCGTAAATTATTGCGTTCTGCGAATTCTACTAGTAGCTCTCCTCTGGCATTTCTAGTACCGATGCCATAATCTCCTACTGCCTGGTCTCCAGCCTGCTTCTTCCCTACCTTTGCATTAAAGTCTCCCATCAGTATTGTATACTGTGTTTTTACCTTACTCATTGCCGATTCAACGTCTTCATAGAAGCTTTCAACTGAAGCGTCATCATGGCTGGATGTAGGCGCGTAGGCCTGTACCACCTTCATCTTGTATCTCTTTCAGTTTAATTACGATACCTACCACCCTTTCATTAATGCTATAGTATTCCTCTATGTTGCCAGCTATGTTTCTGTGAATTAGGAACCACACTCACAGTTTTCTTCTGTCAGCCAAGCCCCGATAGCAAAGGACGTGCCCATTCTGTAGCACCGTATAGGCCTCATCTGTCCTCCTAACCTCACTGACCCCTATTATATCTCATATAACACCCTCTAGCTCCTCGAATAGTACAGCTAGACTTCCCTATATATAAGTCTATAAGAATAAGTCTATAAGATAAGTCTATAAGTATAAGTCTATAAGTATAAGCTAAGTCTATAAGTATAAGTCTATAAGATTATAAGCAGACTTATATAGCTATTTTTTATCACTTGCTTTTATTACCAGTTGCTCAGCGCGTTTCCGGTGGTTTTTGTACCGTTTTTACCAGCTAAATTTAGCATGGTTGATTGTGAAGTGCTTCATCTCCAAACAAAGACAATTATGAAGGGTCAAGCGCTTGCGTTCATTTAGTCTATATTCTCATATTGGCATAGTAAGCTGCCTAACCGATGTGAGACGTTCTAGAACAAGGTGTAGCATTCTAGTACAGAAACCATCTGGCGTACACGATGCATATTCCAGACGTCCTTTACGTACATACACATTCACGCAGCAACGCACAGCCAAGAGTCAGCTTATAAATTGTTGCCTTAGCTGATTCTATAGCCAGAGTTTAAAAATATACCAATAGACAAATCTACGCAACTAAATGACGCAAACAAATGAATGTTTTCTACTCACTGCACCACGGAACTCCTTTTTGTTGCCTGGCATGGTTTGCAACACACATTTTAGGTTATATAGCGGGGGGTAAACTCAAGGCAGGAAGTTGTAGATCAGTTTAAAATACGCGCGACAAGTTTTGGCACAACTGACTGAGCTGCGCTGGCACCGTGGCGGTGGAAGGGAAGGTACGCCAAACATCGCTTGAGTTTTTTGCCCCACTACGGGTCGAAT